GCAATCATGACATCTTTGAACATAGTTTCGACCGGCTGCTGGCCTTTGGCCACGAGCTCGGTTACTTGCACCTGTGCAGGGGGCTCAGGTTCCCGAGGAGGTGCAGCTTTGGGTTTGTGATGTCGAGGGGGACGAGGAGGCTTTGCCGGTGCCCTCTTCGGTGGGGTCCTGGGTCTTTCGTGGCCACGAGGACTTTGCTGCTGTGCACAAGGATTTGGCCTCGGCGGTGGTTGTGGCCTTTCCGGCTGTAGAGGCGGTGGTCCTCGCGGATGGGGGCATGGCATTCCCCAATTGTGATAGGGAGGCGTTGCCGGTCTGTGCTGAAACGGTTGCACTGCTAGTGGCCTGGGCGGGAAAGCTGCTGCAGGCGCCTGAAACATGCCAGGGGGCACAGTAGGGGTTGGAAGCTGTGGCCTTTGTGCCGGTGCTTGCCATTGCTTCGGAGGCCTGTCCGGAGGAGACGCTGTTGGCCTCCTTGGCTGCTGGCGTGGCGTACGGCTACGATGCCGATGCCGTCGCCTGTGGCCTGACGCCGTGGCGCGAAGCTGATCTTGCTCGGCGGTGGTGGTGGCGATGGTGTCGCCTGTCTCGATCCCGAGCCCGTCTGGGCTGCTCCTGCTCCGCACTTGCGGATGCGGATCTCAGTCGGGCTGCTGGTCGTCGCACAGGATCTTCAAAAATTAATTCAGCTGTTGCACGTGGTGGTGGGCCTGCTAGAGCCGCTGGCTCTACCAGGATTGGCCAGGGCTATGCCTTCTGGCCCACAAAAGAACTGAAAGACATATGATGACATGGCTAGCCAGTCACAATAGAGGGCGATCAGAGAAATCGGGCACTGCCTAATATCAAAGGAGGCTCGGGCCAAGCTTTGCAACTGAAAGGTTACAAATAGCTGCCAGAGTATGCTCCCATGCACACTGCACACTGCAACACTACCACAACGGATGAGTCAAAACATGCATCAGAATTTTGCGTATGTTCAGGGCAACACTTCGTTTGGGAATCCTTTGGACCTGTACAGTTCCCTGAGTTGCTGAACCTGCCCTTGTCTTTGGCTGGGTGGCCACGCATATTGCATGATGAGGGCTTTGCGGGACAAAAAACCTGAAACTCTGCTGGACCAGCTACCTG